AGTGTCCGGGCAGCCCATTTGGAGACACCTCCAGGATTTCAGTGCATGTGCAGTGCATGCGAGACGAGCCGGTTCGTTCTTTTTTGTGATCTCCTCTCGTTGTGGTCGTCGTGCTCTCAAAACAAGCATAGAGGTGGTAAAATACATTTCTCACTATTTCTCTTTGCCAACTAGATTCCACCGGCATGCTTTTGTTTGGTGGGCGGCATACCGATACTGTAATTAGGCTTAGGACCCTACGTGCTACCTTTCCTGGCATCTAACAAAGGACTCTAACAAAGGACTTACTGTATTACTGTCCCAGTATGCACCCATTACAATGTGTTGAGCATGCTGACGACCAACGCTAGGTCGTCCGACCGCCCATTATTTTCTGCAAGCATGTGGAGGGTCATCCAAGCCAGGCATGGGCCCGGCAGATGATCGCTTTCAATTTAACAAGAAGCTAGTAGTAACAAGTGCATCGCTTCTAGGAACAAGTGCCTTACTAGTAGTAACAAGAAGCTATTAATTTAGCCTCTACAGACTCCGCCATTCGGTGACAGTCATTTGGTGTTCTCAAACCTCTGCTCCACTTGTTGGAAGGGGGAGACTAGCTCAATCGATGTTACAGTCCAGTTTGCATCCATTCACTCTACTACTTGAATAATCGATTGTACATGGTGATTTGCATGGACAGCACCGCCACTTGCAGTTAAAACCGAGTTTGCAAGACACCTGTTTCGCAGATGTATGAGATGCGCGAGCAAATTGGCTCTGGGACCTTCGGCACAGTGTGGAAGGCCCACCATACACAGCCAGGGCCCTTTTGCAGCTTGAGACTGCTTGTCCTTCAGTAGAGCTGAGCAAGAATTCTTGCCGAGCCGTACTTCACGGTTGAGGTACTAGACTCGACCCAAATCTGCTGTAAATAGGCAATCACCACCCTTCACACCCTGTGCAATGCACTTGCGCTAACGCTGCTGAGGACCGGGCAGACTCATGCCGTGTGGCTCCAAGGAAATCTGAAGTGCTTGTGGCCATAGTAGCTTCTTGCTCCGTTCGTAGCGTCCTTGCTCCTAGTAGCAAGGCCAGGAGCCCCTAGTAGCGTCCTTGCTGGTTCAGGCATGCTCAGGACGGGCTTTGATTTGTGAGGACTTCATTTTGAAGGGCACCATAATGAGGGGATGATATTTGTTTGGCTGAGACATCAAGTTCACGTTGAGATGTCGTGGACTTAGGTGAAGAGCTGTCCCAAGAAGCTGATCCCCAGCGAAGAGCTTTGGGCCAGACGCCCAGCGAGCATGGCATTCGGGCTCATTTGGAATGGGGTTGTATTATGTTGTGTTTGTTTAGTTGAATTGCTTTGATGTGACCGTTAGTTACTAGTAGTAACAAGAAGCTATTATAGAATCAAATTTAAATAGCAAACATTGTTACTACTAGTAAGGCACTTGTTACTAGAAGCGAGGCACTTGTTACTACTAGTAACATTTGGAATTACTTTGATGTGACCGTTAGTTACTGTGGATGTTGGTGGTCTCATTCTCCCGATTCGGTTGCGATTGATGCATCGCTGCGTGGAACTCTCTCAGAGCTGACTGTTTTGGCTCAACCTATGTCAATGAGTCCAAAGTATATGATCAGAAGAGACATCCGGGTGTGAGAGAACCTTTGCCTTGCGAAGCTTGAAGAAATGCACATTCACATGCTGGATATCTCGAACACTTTTCTTTTAAGAGAATCCAACGGACCAGCTCTGTGATTCACGAAGGTTGGTTAACCAGCATCCATGCTTTCCCACGTGTCATCCTTTGGTCGAGTGAGGCGGAGATTGAAATCATGAAGCAGCTGGACCATGTGGGGACTCCAAGCAGTTGCCAAATTGAATGCCACCAACCAAGGGGTTGAGGGTCTATTCACTTCTCGCATAAAGAACCTACTGTATGTACGTACCGCGACTGCACCCTTCATCCTTTGTCAAGTGTAAGAGGATAGACTGTTTGCAGTGCTGCCCTCATGCCCTCATGGCAGCTCCAACCTCAACAATGGAGTCGGGTGAGTCACTTCATGGTTTGTGTGGGAACATCACCGAGCCTTTCAAGAAAATTGCACCAGTTCTTCCTTGGTGTTGGAGTGAAGACTCCATCGCTAAGCCTCACATCATGCGGCTCTACTACACTTTCGAGGACGACCTGTGCTGCGCTCAGTGCCGGCTCATACCTTTCGTTTGTTTAATGGTTCATTTAGATGTGGTCAATGGTCTGAGGATTCCTTGAATTCTACCAGGTGAGACTAAAAATGACTAAAACATACAGCAAATATGTTGAACAACGATGGACAATGCTGAACATAGTCATTCCACACATTTTGTTTAACATCAAGAGCATTGTAAGATCTCCGTCAAAGGCGATAGAGAGTCATTAGTCCGCCCAAAGTCGAGCCGTGACCTGATGTGATTGCCACAGTGTTCATTTCATCTTCCAACCCCTTTTGCAGCTTCACTCTTGGGATCTCTTAGGCTCGCTCTTGCCTAGCACTTCAGTCACTACATTTAGATCTGGTCCATGAGGTGTATTTTCATCGCCTCAGAGCTTTGCGAGGGCGGCGAGCTCTTCAATGCCATGATTGCGGCCGAGTGCCCAGCAAAATATAAGATCCAAAGGACTCGCACACCGTTGGACATCTTCATTGGTTGAAAGCGCTCTATTTGCTGATTGCATTATTGGAGTTAGTTGGGCTTCAGGAGTTTGCACAGACTGGTGCTGTGTTTCACCATGAGGCTGGAACCCTCCATGAGCAGACGGCCGCGCTTCTCTTTAAGCAGATCATGAGAGGGGGTGGCGCGAGTGGACGTCGTTGATCCATTCGTTGTTCCGTCTCGATAGCCGATCCCAATGACAAACTTTTGGCCCCCAAGATTTGCACAGCTTGTGAAGAACTTGGAAGAGTTTGGAAGCATGACTATATAATGGAAGCTGGCAAAGCCAATCAAGGTGTGCCATTCTCATTCATCTCAAGCTTGTATGATATTGCATGATTGATTCTGTTCAGAGCATTCCCCTGCAGGAGTGCGGTGTCCTACATCCACATGAACATGTACCTCGGCTTGCACCGACATGTGCTTTCCAATCATTTCCAGCCCAGGCTTTGAAAGGTAGGCCCACTGGAAATGAATAAGTGTCATGATGATCATGATGGATATGGACCTCTCAAATTGCCGCAAAGCCGCTGAAGATCGGCTGAAAGGAAGCCACTGAAGGGCTCCAGTGCTCCAGTGGTTGTCCGCACTTTCTAGAGTTTGTTGTGGGGTCAATGGCATAGATAGATAAGTTGTGATGCAGATAAGAAAAGCATTTAAAAAATAGCTTGAAACTCAATCAGTTGTAAGCCATAACATGGGGGTCTTGTGAAAGAATGTCTGACAGAATCTCACAGCCTTTAAAAGCATTTGTGGATTTTGTTGGCTGTTTCGTCAGCAGTGTGGGCCTCGCCAAAATACCTCTTCAACCTCCCATTGACTCGCTGAGGATTTGCCACCGAGATTTGAAGCCGGAGAACTTTCTCATCTCCAAGAAGTGTGCCATCCAGGACACTGAAGGGAGGTGCGAGATGGAGCCTGGTGACATTTGACCAACCTGTTTGGGGAAAAGCAGCTTTTCGGGAGAAACTTCAACGATCCGAGGCGAGGGCTGGGCATCAACATGTCTCAAAGACTGCACCATCCTGTTGCGATGAAATGGACACACAAACACACACTCAACTCGCAATGCCCAAAACCGCTTCATTTCTTCGGGCGGGTATTTACTGTAGCTGGCTAGTGCTTGTCTTGCTCCTGCCCAGAAACCAACCTAAAAGATCAGAATACAGAAATACACAGACAGTGTACAGCTGATTCACTAGGCTTATGATAAGCAAACTGCAGACTGCAAACCTATTGAGATTATATATTGAGCGCGTGATGACTCCCACAGCACACGGAGAAACGCAGCCCAAGCACCCGACCAGGACAGCCGAGTCAAACTGATCGACTTCGGCACGGCCAAACGCTTCGACTTGGGGCCCTTGACCACCAAGGCCGGTTGCGGAAGTGGGGAGCCGGTGGTCGGCTGGTTGAGGCCGGTTGAAGGAGCCGCCCGCGGGGTTCTTTCCGATTTCAGATTCGAAGTGCCAACCAGTCACGGGTCACACGTCACAGCCCCCTTTCACGAACCTGTGGAACGCCCTGTGGATTCTCTGGTTTGTTGCACTGAACCCGGTGTCAGATGACAGGGAAGTGGAGAGATCTCCAAGTTGCCGATATCACACATGCTAGTCATCAAGCACATCGACCTCGACATATTTCTTCAGGTGTGCACCGTGCACTACGTGGCCCCAGAGGTCCTCAAGAAGAGCAGGGCAGCCTGGACTCCGTGTGTCCAAGTCTATTCTGCAATGTGAGAGAAGTCGAAGTCTCTCTCACAGAGACCCGCGAAAGGTTCGAGCTGTTCAAACCATCGTAGCTGGTTTGATTCTGTTCTTTTCTTCTTGGACAAGCTCGTTTGGCCAAGCAAGGCAAAATCTAGATCAGTGAAGAAGGATCGATGATAGCCTTTGGGGTATTCAATTTGGCTTCATGCGCATCCTGCGTTTCTCCTCGTTTGTTCACATCTCTGTTGCTTTGCGTTATTTTGACCCTTGTACCATAAATGTCGGTTGTTCCCCAGGCCGATCAACGAGAATGAAACACCGCAAGTTTTGCTTCTGATCGTTGTTCATGAGCTGACCATGGCCCGTGCGACGAACTTTGTGACGGCCCCAGAAATGGAGCCCTACACGGAGAAGGTGGATGTGTGGTCTGCTGGGGTCGCGGACTCAGACCTTGCACGAGCAGATCTCGCCTTCTGAAGTCCCCCAGTAGACCACAGTCATCCAGAGGCCTGGGATCCGCTAAAGGCATGTGCCACCATCTGCCTATAATGCACGCCACAAGCCATGCGGTTTGAAGTGACCCATTTTGACTTGAGGTGGTGCTCTTCGTGATGCTTGCGGGCGTCCCTCCTTTCCACGACGATGATGATCTGGAGTTGATGAAGAAGGTGAAGAGAGGGTCTGGAAGCTCAGGAGCTTAGAAACCTTGAGAAACCTGAGCCAGCAGTGCGGCATGTGGTTGATTTTGATTTGGCAGTATATATTTCTTTCTTCCCACCGCCGCTGAAAGCTGCAAAGAAGTTTGCCCCTTGGACTTCCTGCCACCCACGTTCCACTTTCCTCATATACTCCTGGCCATCTCACACCCTCCCATTGAAGAAACTGCTCTCTTAGGAAGTGGTCCTTCACCCCGGAGAAGGCTTGGAAGCGTGTCTCTGCGGTGGGCAAAGAGCTGGGTGCCTCAGATTGCCCCAGCTTGCTGGGAGTCGCATGGTGTCGGGGTATTGCGGGAGAGCTGAAGAACTATCCTTGGTGCAACGGATTGTCTCCAGTATGTGATGGTTTGATATGGTTTGCATTTTCTCCGAGTAGGCCAGGCCCGCGAGCACCTGGAGCTTTGTAAAGGCAGTTCCTGCCTTTTTCCAGCAGTTGAGCCCACAAACCAGGCCATTAAACAGATTAAACATGTTCTCAAAACGGTAAACTCTGAATCCAGACCTCGAGTGACCAGAAGGTGTGGATTTGCCCAAGAATGACCTGGGCATGACACTCTCACGAACAGCATGGCATCCCATGGCATGGGCACCTCAGGCTGGTCACGCAGATGTTGACCAAGGACGTCGACTCGCGGCCTCACTCAGCCGAGGCTGTGAATATTTTGGCATATTTTGGCATTGAAAACGCCTTCCCGATTAAAGAAGCAGGTGTGTTCCTTCTCACCGCTGAATGCAACTGAGATGTTTCAGGATGTTTCATTGGATGCTGGAAAAAGGTCCTACAGAACCGATCCAACTCCAGAAGCGCACAGGTCCTGGCCTCACACTGGTTCCGGCAAGAGGCGGCAGTAAGGGCTTTCTTGATGTAACAGCGGACGTAGTGACACCATGTGACACCATCAGCCTGAGTGCATTGGCCTATCTTCGATTTTCTGGTGTGGAGACCATTGCTCTTAGGTTCGAGGCCATCGCTCTTAGGTTGGAGGCCATCGCCGAGCCATTTGCACATGCATGAAACACTGAGACTGAGACCAGGTGATCCCGCAGGACACCAAGGTGGACGTTGGGTGCCCTAGGAATGGTCAGGAGCTCCACCTGTCACAGAAGCCGAAGCTGCTGAACATGTCACACTAGCTTGGTTGCAAGAGACTCAGGAGATTGTGTTAGAAAGTATCTCCCCGATTTCAACATGGACCTGTGTGGAGACAGTTTCAGCTTCTAGCTGGCCACTTGGGCTTCAGAGCTATCCTCTTAAACAATGCATTGGGCGCCACCATCCACACCATGCCACGGCGGCAGTGAGATAGTCTCGATGGAACCCTGGGGTATGTGTTTCTTTCTTTCCTGTCCTTGTTCTTGTTTCTGGATGCTAGCAGATTGTTTTGGAAGTTGACTCAGCTAAAGGGATCCAAAGTAAAAGACGATGAAGACCCTGTGAAGCTGGAGGATGCATTCCTTTGCTTGGGGCTTGATGCACTCTTCATCATGCAGGGCTTTGGGCTCTCAAAAACACAGATTCTGGCTTAAAGATCGCCTGAACGTCTCTGCAAAAGCAAACTGCGAGTTGATCCACTGGGTGATCCCAAGGAAGGAAACCTTGCACAGATGCGCACCTTTGCCGCTTCCTTAGCACATCCCGAGCTACTGCTTGCATCGTTGATCGAGTAGTGTTTCACTTTCACGAACCGGGCCTCTTTATTGTGGCCTAGTGTCCTTATCAAAATCACACCGGTGGGAGATTGCTGATATGGGACTCAAAGTCGTTCGGCATCGGACGTGTGTTAACTGGTGCGCCAAGCGCACCTCACAGCCACTCCACTCTCCTCAAGGTGGCACAAAGCCGGTTGAAGAAGGTGGCCTTGCAGGTGATTGCACGACAGGCGCCGCAGCCGAAGGGATGCATGGGCATTGGAGCGTTTGCTTGCATGTTTCTCTTTTGTGTTTCGTGCAAGGCACAGAAGAGGAAATGAGTGACTCAGAATACTTTCCCCATCAACAGGAATGTGTCTGGATTGGCCAGCGGTCTTCATAGTGAGAGCATTCTCCTTGCAAGATCTCCGATGACACCATTGAGAAGCTGCGGGAGATCTTCTTATCCTTGGATGACGACAACTCGGGGACGCTCTCGGCGGGGAACCTCACAAGGCAGCCCTGTTGGTTTTAGGATGGATATGGCATGGCTACTCACTTAAGCCTTACGGTAACGTACGGTACCAAGCCTGTTTCTTTGTGAAAAAGGGAGGATGCACCTTTGGGCCTTCGGGGTTCAAGAAGTAGATAAGTGGGTTGCTGTGTTGGCTTCTTGTTCCTACTAGTAAGGCCAGGAGCCCCTAGTAGCGTCCCTGCTCCTAGTAGCGATGCCAGGAGCCCCTAGTATACATTCCGTATCCTATGTGGTATGGCGAACCAAGACTTTGTAGCCAGAATACAAAGGGTGCTCTTCATACGGGTGCAAGTGAGCGAGGGCGTGGGTTTTATTGAGATAAACCACAAACTATACTATAAGCGTAAGATATAGTGACTTGGCATTGAGGAGTTTTGAGTCATGCCAGAAAAACGGTTTCTTTCTTGGAACCCGCATGAAGGTGAGGTCCCCCACGGTCCGTAGTGTGTGAGAGCTGGCGAAGCTCCACAGTTGCATGGCGTCCTTCCGCGAATGTGTGAGACAAACGGGAGGGATCGGACAAGGGAGCGTGGTTTGGCACTATGGTCCTGTAGATTTGAAAGATTTGTGGAAGCGCCTTCAGACTGATAATGCTGTGGCAGAGTAGTGGTGGTCTGGCCGCAGTGCAATTCCGCTCGAAAGGTGGTTTGATTCCAATGCTGAAATACGCAAGAGACAGCTGAATTTTTGGGAGATTGAGCATATGGCCATGCACGATAAGAATCGACACTGGCCACGGCGCTTGAAGGAACATCCACACCTTTGTTGGGAACGGCAACATATGGCTTTGCACGACAAAGACCCTCCCCAGCGGCGGCCTTTGAGCCAACGACCTAAGATCGACAAATTGTCAGCTGTGCGAGAGCTACTACTCCGCTGGTGCCATGTGCTGCGGAAGCAGGAACAACTGGCAGAGAAGGAACGTCTGAAATTTTTGCGGCAGCGCAAGAAAGACCAGAACGAACGAAGGCGACAGAACGTCTTGAAGCGCCTGAGAAGAGCAACAGGCTCAGCGCTTGAGGAGGGAAACTCTCCGCAAAAAGAGGATGTCGCCTGACCTGACCATGGATGATATTCTTGGACTCAAAAGGGATTTGCAGTTTTCGTTTGTGAGGCTTACAATCTGCATGACGATAACTCGACGATGACCATCATGAGCTACTACGACTGTATCTCCCCAGGTTCAGCTCTTTCGCCATGGATCTACGACAGGTTTTATACAAGGTATATACTGTATATACTATTATTATTCTTATTATTATTCTTATTATATAGTTCAAAAGCCCTAAAGTTTACGTTTCTTATTTCTTACTCTGTTCCAACATGACACTTGTGGTCTACAGCGGATCGGATTGACGCGTCCTTTTTGCTTGGCAGGTACAGCACGGTCAGATTTCCACACCTGTTTAGATTTAGAGTATTTTTATAATGCTTTCAGGTGTGGAAATCTGACCGCAACTTAGGTGTCGACATGTTGCACGTAGGATTCCAAGGGGAAAAGGGCTTGATTTTTTTTAGAAGTTAAGAAGCGCAACTTTCGGCGCCCCTGTGTATACACACGTGTTTTCCCGAAGTAGTTGCACATATCATCGAATCTAGCCCACAACGATGCTTGGTGAATTATTGACGTTATCTTCTTTAGGACCAAGGCTGGCTGCTTGAGAGCAACTCCCAACAAACTTTTTTGGGAGCAACCTTGTCATATGTTACTGCATCACCCACTTGCAGCCCCCCCATCACCCAAAAGGTGACTTGCTCTCAGCAGCCCCACCGTAGTTCATGTGCCCGGCATCGAGGTTGAGGAGATCGATGAGGCGCTCATTGACTTGCAAGTCGAGGAACCCATCAGAGTGGAGATGAGGCCCAATCGGTGTGGACCGATAGGCTTGTTGGGCTGTCTGATGCGGTCAAGCCAAGAGCAAAGCGCAGCTAAGCTAGGATTTGTTTCATTTGTTCTGAGATATGTCGTAGTAGTACCCTTCATTTTCGACCTGGCGGAATTTTATCGGTAGTACCTAATCACACCGCCAGTTTCTTGAACCACCATATGTTGGTTTGGGAGTTTGCCCTGTCCGAAGTATCAATAATACGGGGGTCACAAATCTTTCTTCCTGCAAGTGCAGCTGGAGATGTCAACGTGAGGATCCCCACCAGCAAGAAAAGAGTGGTGTTGAAGAGAATCAATTTCTTAATAACATGTGTCTCTTGCTGCATCAAGACTTCGCAGAGCGCCAATCTGGAAGGCGCTTGATGCACGAGATCGATGTGGATGGCAGTGGCACAGTGAACTATACCGAGCTTGTGGCCCCAGAGCCGGTCAAGCGGAGCTACTATGGTGGAGGCCATCGCTATAGCAGGTTTAAGGCCATCGCTACTATGGTGGAGGCCATCGCTAGTAGGTTTAAGGTCATCGCTACTATGGTGGAGGCCATCGCTAGTAGGTTTAAGGCCATCG